GAAGCCCAACTTTGGCCCTAGGAAAATGTCACAGCATTTTAATCACAAGGAAGAGCCCCAGCTTTGATTGCACAGATCATATGGGTGACAAGTAATGGTGAGAATGTCACAGAAGGCCAGAAATCAGATCTGGGTGCCAATGTGCTAAGGGTCTAGGACATCCAGAAGCTTCCTTCTGTGAATACAGGATGCACATCAGCAGAAGCAGCAAGTCCTATGATCCTCTTGGGAGTATGGGGTCATTGGCCTGCATTGCTCGTGGGATACTTTATCTTCCCATGCCTTTGAAAACAAAGAAGAATTAAAAGGAATGAGGCCTTTCCTGAAAGGCATGAGCCAGTAACATGCTCCATCATTGCAGTAGGTTAAAATCAAAGTGAAAGTTGCAGTTCGGTAACCTCTGGTCCCAAGGGGATCACTCCTGCACTTCTTTGGAAAACCTGGTTGTCTGCTATCATCCCCTTGAATGGATAGATAAAGGTCCCGTGGAGAGACCACGTGTTCACTTGCCTGAAGCAGACGGTTAATTTTTCTGAGTCACTTAGTTTGGTTCTAAAATTGTCTCTTGGGGTTATGGTTGTTCCTCGGAGCTCTTTTGAGAGTCTGCACCTCTTTCCAGCAGCATGAAAGACAATTGCACGTTCTTATCTAAAATACCTAATTTTAACGACAGTTAGTTCTCAGAAAACAATTCTGTCTTGTCGGTAAGAGGAAATTGTCCCCTTCATGCAGGCGTGTGTCTTCTTTTTTTATTCCACAAGCTACTTGCTCAGAGTAGATCCTAATAACACTGCTGGCAGCTAATAGAGAAAAAAAAATGACCCTAATGCAGTGTGAAGTGCTGTTTAGGGTTTCTACCAGCCACTGCTTTCCTGTCTGTAGCATACCTTTAGAGTTCAGTTATACAAGCTCATGGGAGATGAAGGCAACTTTGTCTTAAGTATGAGAGAAAAAATAATCTCTCCATGGGGATTCTGGAAAGTGATGACATTTGAGGATCCCAAGATCTCCTTTCAAAAATAAAAGTTGTAAGACTTTACCTGACCCTTCCGGCTGGCCTTGTTGGTGAGCCTCCCGTTGGTTAATGGGAGCTTACTGTAAAGCAAGATTCTAATTGTTGAAGCTATAATGATGTTCTGCTAACCTGCTCCCATTACACACACACACACACACAGAGAGAGAGAGAGAGAGAGAGAGAGAGAGAGAGAGAGAGAGAGAGAGAGAGACTGACAGAGACAGACAGACAGACAGACAGACAGACAGAGACAGACAGACAGATAGACAGACAGACAGACAGAAAGATATAGGGCCTTAGAATCAGCTCATTTTCTAATAGAGTAGGTTACCTATAACACATCATTCAATGTATTACAATTAAAAGCTCTGTCTTATTATTTTAAGAACTTAATGTACAGGAATATATCTGAGACTGGTATGTTGTACATCTTCTTTAAATGCTAGCTAATTCTGTTGGTTTTTTCATATTTTAATTTAATTTCACTTTACATTCCAACCACAGTTCTCCCTCCCACCCCTCTTCCTACACTAATCACTTCCCCCTCCCCCGCCCACTCCCAGTCTGCTCTTCCTCATTGGTAAGAGCTGCCATGAGGAGTCAGTATTGTCTGACACAAAAGTTTGGGGCAAGCCAGGCTCCTCTCCTGTGCATGAAGACTGAGCATGGCATACCACCATGGGGAATGGGCTCCAACAAGCTAGCTTGTGTGCCAGGGTAATATCGTGGTCCTACTGCCACTAAGTATGGCACCCCACCCTAAGGAATGGGCTCCAATAAGTTAGCTCATGTACCAGGTACCACTACCAGGGGCCCTTCTGATAGTCCAAGCTTCACAGCTGTCTCCCACATATGGAGGGCCTATTTCAGTCCCCTGGAGTCTCCACAGTTGTAGTTCTAAAGGTCATGAGTTTCCATGAGCTTGGTTCAGCAGTATCTGTAGTTTTCTCCATCATGATCTTAACCTTCCTTGCTCAAATATTCCCTTCTCCCTTTCTTTGACTGGATTCCCAGAGATTGGCCTGGTTCTTGATTGTGGATCTCTGCATCTGGTTCCATCAATTACTATATGGAGGATCAATGATGACAGTTGGGGTATTCATCAATTTGATATCAGAAGTAGGCCAGTTCAGGCATCCTCTCTACTATTGCTAGGAGTCTTAGTTGGGGTCCTTCTTGTGGATTCTTGGGAGTTACCCTAGCACTAGGCTTCTTTCTAAGCCCATAATGGCTTTCAATAGTAAGATATCTCTTTCATTGCTCTTCTACTGTATCCCTCCCCAACTCAGCCATCTCATTTCCTCCTAGTTTTGTTGTTCCTGAGGCCATTATGTCTTTTCTTTATATTGTCATTATTATGCCAAGAACTTTTAGAGAACTCTAACAGTACATAAAATTCATTGGCTCATCACTATCCAAATCCTTTTATATCTACACAATCTTCTGGAGTTACACACAATCAAAGGAATGAGACATTAATATTTCTACCATTATTTCATTTTACAAATGAAGAAACTGAGGCTCAGAGATGCTGAGAGTTTAGACTGAAGCTATCTGAGTCAGGACATACCGGTCCCTATTCTAAGGCCATCATAGTGGCGGATCCATCTGGATGCAGTCTGGTATCCTTGAAGCTAGAACAGCTAAATCTTGTATGAGTCCTGGGACATCATTGTCATCCATGCAGAACAACTAAGAATTGTACTAAGGTGATGGCTTTAAAGAGACCACTATCTGCAGTCCTTGTTCCTTGGCTTAATAGACTGGACTTCCTTACACGTAATTGGATGGAAGTTGGTGACACCTGCCTGTTTCCACCATCTTGCCTGGTTCACAGGGCAATGGGCCCATTCCATTTTGCTTTCAAGGGACATTCAATACCACTAATTTATCCATTCATGAAATATTTTCTGCCTTATCTCCAAATTGCTCTTCTGCCTACATGTTTCCTTCCTTCAGCACTGGCCATTGATTCTCAGTCCATTTTTACAGAGTCCTTCTCCTCTTTTTAATATGTAGATGCTGGATTCCTTGGACCTTTTGTTATAAATTCAGCATCATGGCTTTAATACCAAGTAAGCATTGATGATTCTTACATTCACATATTTACCCTCAACCATCCTTGGACTTCAAGAACGTCTAATTCATTTAAGTGACATCTCCACATGGGTGTCTAATAACTCTTTCAAACTTAATGTAGGCATAGTCATGGCAGAATTTATTAAATTTCTCCATGAGTAAGTTATCTATTGCTGCTTAAATATTTATCCCAAAATCTGATGGTTTAAAACAGTGAACATTTATCATCTCACACAAATTCTTGTGTCAGATCTCTCATTGTATCAGCAATCAATTGCTTTGTAACAAACTATCTCACAAAACAAAATGTACTACTGCTCAACACATTATCTCTTACATCTCAAATACAAGCATCTACTATTTCACTGTTTCTGAATTCCAGTAATTTGGGGAGCTTACGTGGTCAGTTCTGTCTTGGCATCTCTCATAATGTTGCAGTCTACTGTCATCTGAGGACTGGACATTGGCTATAAGAGGTACTTTCAGTATCACTCATGGGCTTCAGTTTCTAGCTCAATACTACCAGGAAGCCTTTCTTCTTCTTCTTCTTCTTCTTCTTCTTCTTCTTCTTCTTCTTCTTCTTCTTCTTCTTCTTCTTCTTCAAAATTGCTGTGCTGTTACCATTTTATTGAGTTTAATAAAAGACAATAAAAATCAATTCAAACATGCTTGCAAACAGATTTCCAAATTTCAAGACAACTGTCTTCAGTTGTCAGGCCAAAAGATAAGATAACAGATGTCTCCATTCCTATGGCTACAGTGTCACGATTCATTCAGTCAGTCAGTCTTCATCCAGCCGGTCAATATCCCGCTGTAGGCCAAGCACTGAGGCAGGAACAGTTCCCCATTCTCATGGCATCATCAGCATGGTGACAGACAGAAACTCAGAAAAGTCTTACTTCTTAATGCATGGTCTTCTCTGAAGGATTCTTATGTGCTCATACGACAGAGCAGCTGAAGAAGGGCAGAGCAAGTGATCGCATTCAGAGAAACTCTACCAAAAGCCTGGGGAATTAGAATGGACACAACAGTGTTCCCATTGTTGGTTTCCTTGTCCTTCCTTGTTCTGTTTGTCCCCTCCCTTCTCCACTACCAAGTTCCCTCAACTCTCCTCTTCAAAGTCAAAGTTGAATGGTCTTTCCTGGAAATCTGTTCTTTCTCAGTGAAAGCTGGCCAAGGCCAAATATTCTTTTCTCATGAATACCTGAAATTTTTCTTTACTCTCAACTACAGTTGAACTTACTTGGCAAAATTGTCACAATTTTACTTTATACTCCACATGGAAGCAAAAGCTATTTAGTACCAGGAGCCATGTTTTGCCTTTTATAGGTATAGGTACTGTGTTGTGTGTGTGAATTCCACACACCACTGTGGTGATATCATGCTTGTACAGATAAACCCTGTCTGTGCCCAGTCATCTCACTTCCTGTTTCTGCCCAGCCATCTCATTTCCTGTCTGTCTTACAGACCTCCAGACCTCTGTGGTTAGTTAGTGGCAAGTCCCATTCTCTGATCTTCAGAAAGACTTTATTTGCACAAGTAAGATATCACCATACACCACCTTTGATGAAATAAGTTTGGAAGCATGGGGGATGTCTCCTTCCTAACCCTGAAATTTCTCCCCAGATTCTGGCTGAGAACCAATATCTTTCATCATGGGTCATTTCTTCATACATAGGGTATAAACGAAAAGTTTGTCTTGGATAAGAAACATATGAATCAAATCAGCCCTTGGGTGGAGTTAGGAGTAGGGAGTATGGATGTGGGAAGCCTCTTTCTTGGGTGTAACTGGCCTTGCAGCTGCACAGCCAGATCCTGTCAGCACTGCCTTTTCTCTTTCTTGTGCCCATCATAGGCTTCAGAATCAGATCTAACAAATGCTGCCCATCTATGTTTGTCTTTCCAGGTGGATTATGATCGAGCACAGATGGTCTTCAGTCCTCCATTGTCAGGGTCCGACACCTACCCCAGAGGCCCCACCAAACTACCTCAAAGTCAAAGCAAAACAGGCTACTCTTCAAGCAGCCACCAGTACCCTTCCGGGTACCACAAAGCCACCCTGTACCACCATCCTTCCCTGCAAACCAGTTCTCAGTACATTTCCACTGCTTCTTACTTGAGCTCTCTCAGCATCTCCTCCAGCACCTACCCTCCACCTAGCTGGGGCTCCTCGTCGGACCAGCAGCCCTCCAGGGTATCCCATGAACAGTTCCGAGCTGCCCTACAACTGGTGGTCAGCCCAGGAGACCCCAGGGAATATTTGGATAACTTTATCAAAATTGGAGAAGGGTCAACAGGCATCGTGTGCATTGCAACTGAGAAGCACACAGGAAAGCAAGTGGCAGTGAAGAAAATGGACCTCCGAAAACAGCAAAGACGGGAACTCCTTTTTAATGAGGTAAACACTGTTTCCATTGCCTCTTTCTCGTGTTGATGTAGCATCTGCTTCCTATTTCAAAAGCAGTGTATATAGGGACGAGGAAGAAAATTCAGCCAGTGAAGTGCTTGCTCTACAGGCTTAAAGACTTAAGTTCTGTCCCCAGAACTCAAGTTCACACAAACAAACAAACAAACACACAAACAAGCAAACTGGCATGGTGATGTGTGCACATAATCCCAGTGCTGGGAGATCTCCAGTTTTGTACTTGCTCCAATCTGGTGCTTTCTGGCCAGACAGCCTAAGCTATTGGTGAACCCCCTGGCTAGTGAAAGACCCTGTCTCAAAAACCCATGACACACCTAAGCAATGACATTCAAAGTTGTCCTTTAGCCTCCACATACCTGCTCATACCCATGCACCACTGCATACACACACACACACACACACACACACACACACACACACAGAGAGAGAGAGAGAGAGAGAGAGAGAGAGAGAGAGAGAGAGAGAGAGAGTGTTTTCAGACATACAATGACACTGAAAATAGAAAGGTGAGACTGGCATTACCCTATAATTCTTCCACTAGTCTTGCTTGTTATTTGCATGCATGGCTGTTCCTTTTACAAAGTACTCCATATGTATCAGCTACTGTGCTAAGCACCAGACTAGTTGAGCACAACCCTATGAGATAAAAAGGTGTTGTTATTACATGAGAGACAAAGCAACTCAGAGGTTAAATAACTAGATAACTAGCCAGGATTATATTACTAGTTGACTGTGAAGCCAGGGTTTGAGGACTATCAGATTAAAGAACTCATACTGTGCTGTCTCTGTGGGTATACTCACTACTCAGTATTTCTAGAGATCTGTCCTCAAATGTCTGCTCACACCAAACTCCATACCTACTCATGTCCTTTGTACAAGGGATATATGGTGCTTACATTTGGTCTATACATGTTCTCCTATGTATGGTATATCATTTCTAGATTGCTTATAATATTTAATACAAAGCAAATGCTATGCAAATATTTGTTATATTACATCATTTATAGAATCACAAGGAGAAAAATCTGTACAATACAAACTCATTTTAAAAACGACCTTCCAAACATGTTTGTTTGATTGAACAGATATGTAACTCATGAATACACAAGGCCACCAACCATATACATTTATGTATAGTCATAACCCCCAAACTAAGCAATGATAGCCTACATTAATATTTTAATATTTTGTCTTATATTTTTCTATCTACTTATCTTCTACTTGGGATAATACTATACATGTAGGCTGACAGCTAGCTATTTTTAACTTGTTTAATTTAGGATTTGATTTCATGTTAATAAAATTTTAGAAAGTACATTGTTATATTTTAATATATCAAGCATATCATTTCAATGGACTCAAATTCTTCCATCATATATATAAATAAAACACATTACACCAGTCTCTGATTTATATTGTTTTCAGCAACTTCTGTTTGGCTTCATGTTTTGTAATTGTATTAGATTTATAAATTAGGATGAACAAGTCAAATAACACATACATATATGTAGTTTTTAGAATATTAATATATAATGTTTTTAGAAAGCACCAATTTGGGCCTTTACCAACAACAGTTCTCTGTCACATTTGTTGGCATTATTTGATGTTACATTAGCTCCACTGATATGATATACATGGACCCTCTTTATTATTTTAATTAGAATTTTTAGTTGGCTGAATTTATTTTTTTACATTTACATGCTATTTAAACTTTTCTTTGAATCATATGTCATGTGTTTTCTTTTCCAATAGAAGTTATGGCATTTGATTTACTAATAATAATTGAGACATCAATTTATTGTATTTGTTGTATATGCACACATCAATATTATTATATATGTTATGTATGTATCAATTAGGATCTTTAAAATAGGTGAGAAGATATATAAGTACTTGGAATGCAAAAACCAACATTTTTGAGTATTGTCCCTTTAATAACTTTATTAGCAATGGAGGGAGAGATGATTTGATAGAGATGCCAATCTCTGGCAAAGAATGTACAGTCCACATCTCCAGAATGGCTGCTTGAGACCTTTGATGTTCTGTTGGGAGTTGTCTGAATTCTCTTATAGGTATACAGAAGTGAATTGATCCATGGACACTGGACCAGTGCTCTCAGCTACATTTGAAATCTCATCAATGGAGACTCCATGAAGCCCAGTGGCTTCCCAAATCACTAGTTCCCACAAGATGCTCATTTCTTATGTGAACCCTATAGCCACACAAATGTCCAGATAAGTGGGCTTGAGCATCTTGCCTATATCCTGTTTCTGATTCTTGGAATGTTTTTTCTAAATCATAGTACTAGAACAGTTAGGCATGACTTACTACTTATCACAAACTCTGAAATTCAGCTAGAAGCAGCCACAAGGCAATAATTCCCAGATACTCTTTCCAGCAAGAAGGCTTGCTTTGGCCTTTAAACTTTTTTTTAAAAGGCTACACAACTTTTAATTTTACACTCTTAATATAAATATGCTCTTTATATTCAGACAAATTCTCCCTCAGATCCATCCTAAGTCAAGCTGATGTCTTATATAGCCCTCTGATTGTTTACTTCATGGACCTCAGTTACCACCCACTTACTTACCACCCACTAACTCAGCCTACAGTGACTCCTTGGTGGCTTGACCCACAGTAAAGTATTGATAGTGACAGATACAAATACCTTAGACTTGTCTGATTGCATCTCTCCAAATGACTCAGTAAACATCCTCTTTGACAAATTTTGCTGTATATTTTAAGGTTTTCCCTTCATTTTCAACCCTTCTACCTTTTCTCTCACACATCCCATTCTTATCTTTCCAATGTCTGTTTGACCTGTCATTTTTTCACAAGTGTACTCACTTGATCCTTTTTTATTATCATTGTTGTTGATGCCTCTTATCTACAGTAGATCCCTGAAGAAATTGCCTGGCACTTACTACCTCTCCTTCAAAATATTGATAAGGCCACAAGAGAAAACATAGCCAGATTTAACCAGCAGAAGTAAATACGTATCTTTCTCACTCATCCAGGTTGTGATAATGCGTGATTACCACCATGACAATGTAGTTGACATGTATAACAGCTACCTTGTTGGAGATGAGCTCTGGGTGGTCATGGAGTTTCTAGAAGGTGGTGCCTTGACAGACATTGTCACTCATACCAGGTAAGACAGATGATTCAAAGCACTACCTCAATTACTTCCTCCATAATTTCTTCATGAATTATTAACACTGTGCATTCCAGAAATACAACCCCAGAGTACTTGTTATAAAGTCATGCATATATAGACCATTCATTAATTTAATACCCCCACACACACACTGTAAGTTACCAATAAATATTGATTCAATCTCAGAATCATACTGAGAATTCCATTTTAATAACAAACAACAGAACCTCTCCACAGTAACATAGAGTTTGGTTTTATCCTCCTGAGTTACCATACCATATCCATACAGTAACTCAACCAGGGCTATCTGAGGACAGAAGGGACAGGTAGAGGGTCAAAATTTTATGCCATGTAATGAACCTGTTAGGAAATAAAAATTCCTCAATCCTGGTTGAATACAACTTGATTATCTACAGTATGAGAGTTCAGGGACATGAATTTGCACTAACTGCACAAAAGCTATCAAGTGTGGTCATTTTCCTTTTACTTCGATTGGGTCTTTAAAGTGCCCAGTGCCAGGATTTATTTTCTAATAATCATGCCCCAGAGACTTCATTTCCTTAATTTGGAGATTTTTCTAGACAAGGACTAGAGTCATATACTAGTTCTCCAAAACCCAAGAAAGGGGCATCTCTTGAACATTAGAAAGCTGAACCTAAGCCTGTCTTGTTCCTTTTTTTCCTTGATTCCTTTCTAGAATGAATGAAGAACAGATAGCTACTGTCTGCCTCTCAGTTTTGAAAGCCCTCTCCTACCTTCACAACCAAGGAGTGATTCACAGGGACATAAAGAGTGACTCCATCCTCTTAACAAGTGATGGCCGGGTAAGGCTTTCCTGTTGGGTTCCCTCCAGTTTGGTTTGTCAGATTGCCTGTCATGGGCATTATTCTCTTAAGCACAATTTCTCACAATTCTCATTTTTGTTACTCACACATCGCCCACTCCACTTCCCAGAACTTGCAAAGGGGAAATTGCCTTTCCTCTGTATCATCCTGTTACTCAGAATTACTGGTGATCTGAAATTGATGGAGAATTTGTATCCTTTACAATGAGAGTAGGAAGTAACAGAGACTATGAGAATTTCTTTTATCTTTCTACTTTTTTGATAGATAAAAGGAACTGGCCTTTTTTTTTTTTTTTTGGCTGTATGTACTCTCTTCCTAGCTTCAAGATCTCCACGTCCCTGTGAGAAACAGATGACCCAGTCTTCTTGACTAGTTTGAGAACACTTTATTGAAAAGATAGTTTACCAGTGTGTGAGCAGACATAGAAAAATCATAAATAATAAGCCCCATAGATGAGTGTAGCATTCTGAGATAGACCACCATTGTTACTGCCCCATGCTTAAGAATTTGTTATGTTTGGGGCTCTGATCTTTGATAGGAATCAGAATATCATGAACTTGCAGGAGGAAGCTTGAGAATAAATGACCCCCTTCTGACTGTACTCCTTGCTTCCAATCTCATGCAAGCATCCATGTAGTCAGTGCATGCTGGTTTCAGAAGGCTCAAAGAAAAAAGGAAAGGCATCTGGTTTAACATGGCAAATAGAAAGCATTTATTGTACTATGTTTCCACGCCCAGACTTATGCATTTCTCATCAAAATAATCTAAACAATACACTCTGCTGAAGTACAGAAGTCAATGGACTACAGGCTATGTGAAAGCCAGAGATATAGCAAACCCATATTTCAAGGATGTTTCAGGGAGAAGAATCTTGAGTCATAGATTGTCACTACGTGGGCCCTTTCTCATGCCTGTGATATTCTCACTGGAGGCAATGAGCTTGGGGTGAAAGTAACTGACATTTCTTTGAGGTATATAGCTTTTATAATCCAGCAATCTCAGAGAGACGGAAAATGTTCATATCACATCAGAAGTTGCTGAAAAACAATCAGAGATGAGCTAAGAGAACTTGCGCACTCACTTGGGCTTATCTAGTTTTAGTTTTAAAAGCTAAATTAGTAAATTTTGAATTATGAAATTAGTAAATTTAATAAACTACAGAGGACAAATATCACTCATAATGCTGTTACCTAGTTTCCATATTTCTATGTACATGTATATATTATGTGTGATTTGAGGATTATGTAGAAGCAGTTTTAAGTACTGCTTTTGTCATGACTCCAGTTAAAACTTTTTCATAAAGAACAGTTCAAGAGCATGCATAAGTCAGCTTTGTTATACAATAAACCACTCAAAACTAAGTGGCTTAAAACACTTTTCATGTATTCTCGCAAAAACACATGGATCTGTAGTTGGAGTTTCATCAGCTAGGACAACTGTTCTCTGTTCCATATGTTACTACCTTTGCTTTCTTACATGTGTGAGCAGCCTATAGCTGATGTTCTTCTTGTAGTTGCTGGCTTTCAACCAGGTTAAAGTGCAGTTTCTCCAAGCTCAACTCTAGGATCACGCTTCATCAAATTTGATGAGACATGAACATTTTCCATCTGGCTGATGTTATCTCTACCCTATGCTGGAAACATCCAATAAGAAAGTGATGGAGACCATCAGCCATAGGCTGATTACAAGCTGATGGTCTCCATCTTTCTTTTAGTTGGCTGGCTTTCAACCAGGGTAGAGTGCTAATGGGGCCATGTGTCACCCATATCCAAGGAGAGTCACCCTGACTAATTCACAGGTTTCTTGTGACAGTGTTTCCCAAAAGGTATCAAAAGAAGCAATCCCTGATACAGATTCAATGCATGCACTGTGTATTACAACCCTTACCTTATATCATCTTATTGAAGGATGCCACACATTCAACCAAGCTCAAATTCAAGGGATGGAGAATAAATTGTCCTCAGCTTTTTCTGAAAGCACATGGGTATGATGTGTCTGTGGGTGCTCCTATGTATGTGTGTACATGAGTGTGTTTATGTTGGTGTGTGTGATTATGTGTATGCTTGCATGTGACAGCCTAAGTCGGATGACTTGGAATGTTCACTAACTGCTTTCCCCCTTTCCTTAAAGCAAGGTCTCTCAACTGAACCCAGAGATTGCTGATATGACTAGTCTATTGCCCCAGGGGATTTCCTGTCTCCAACTTTCAATGTTGGAATCAAAGGAGGGCCATCATGCTCTCACAGCATTTATATGGGTTCTGTGGACCCTCGTTACAGTCTTCAGACTTGCAAAACAAGTGTTTCATTCTCTCAGCCCTCCACCTCTGCCTTCAACAGCTCCTCTTGATAGTATCAAATACAAAGTCATACTGCAAAGGGATGAAAGAAAGAATACATGTCTATACAGAAAAGGAGGTATAGGAAGAGGGCAAGAACCCACTCTGTCTGACTTGGAAAGCACCTTGTAAGACCCATGAACACAATACACATCAAACATTGAAGTAGTCCATGAATCACTCTAGGAATGGTACTTGAACAAACAACAAAATCAGGGCAGTCTCAGGCCAAGCTTTCTTCCTGTGTCTGGAGATTGGCAGCAGAGCTTCTTGCTAGAAACATATGATTTGAAGTCACTCAGGGTACTGAAATAATAGGACATAGTTTAATAAACTTAATTTTAAATTTTACCTTTGTCCAATATATGCAATTATTAATGTGCTCAATTGCTATTCTCAAAGGCATAATCTGTGTCTCAAACATCCCAGCACCTTTGTGTACCCAGCAGAGCCTACAGGAACAGAAGCATTGTGAATGCTACTAATCTTGATGATTTGCTAGTACATTTATTATCTGAATGCTTATTATGTGCTAAAATAGATAGGTCCTAAGGATGAACAAAAGAAACACTTATTTTTTTAAGCTACACCATCTGGGGTGTAGGAATGTAATAATAAACACACAAAGTAATAAACTTGCTATTGTATTGCCTTGCTTGGGAAGATAGCTCAGTGGGTAAAACGTTTCCTACAAAAACACAAAGATATGAATTCAGATCCCTATCACCCACATAAAAAGCCAGACATATTGATGTATCTTTGTAATCCAAAACTAGGAGATGGAGACAGGAGAATCCAAGACCTTACTGGCCAGCCAGGCTAGCTAAGTGATGAGCCCCAGTTTTAGTGAAAGATCCAGTTTTCAAATATAAAGTGGAGACCAACAAGACACCTATTGTTGACCTCCAGCCTCCTCACTTGCACACACAGGTGTAAGCAACCTCTCTCACATTGCAGAATATCTGTGATGGACTTGTTCTATGCAGTCTCTCAGACATCCTCCACAGCAGGGTGAAGTCTTAGTTCACCACAGGGATATCTTGCTTGGTAGCTAATTCCTCATCAGCTGTTTTTCTCTTCTTTATTATGCTTACCCATTTCACTGCCAAGGTTTATTACATCTCCCAAATAAGTGTCCTGCCTGAATTCTTGCCTTGGGATGTGCTTTTGGAGGGAAACACTACCTAATGGGGGTTCTTATAGATAATTTAATGAGTCTAAGTTCATCCCCCACATAACTTGAAGGAGGAATAAAGGATAAACAGAAACAGAACATCAACCAATGCTTTATGAACACTCTATCCAGTCACTAATATGTCACCAACACTCACCAGGAATCCATTATCTCCTCACCAAGGATATGCCCCTGATACTTGTTGTCTCCAGCTGCTCACTGAATGGATTGATACTGTTAGTCATGTTCCCTTGTTCATTATTTCTTTTATCTCTTAAGGAGCATTTTACAATTAAAAGAAGACTTGAAGATAGTCATTCAAAGGCAATTTTTAAATAAACAGAGATGTGGGCATGTGAAATAACTTGCTCTCTCTGAAACGTGCCCTGATCTCCATCTATGTTCCCTTTCTGCTACTCATCAGAAGGACGGTGTCCCAGTATAGGATGTATAATGAGAAGGCCTACAATCAGCTTTCATATCTCCTTTAACCATGCTATAAACTTTGGAAAAGTAATACCCAACTCTCTGTGCTCTGTCTGATGGCAGGAGAAGAAATGAGAGCCTGCCACTCTGAGTTAATGTCCTCTCCTCTTGGAGTTGGTGTTTAAAGAAGTGGACCTTAAGCAGCATTGCTTTCACCATCATCATACTGGCCCATTCTATTCCTTGTCTCAGTTTTGTTGTCCCTTGCTGTTGCTCTCTGTAGAGCAGAAGTTCTCAGACTTTTGTGAACATCAGAAACCAGTGAAGAACATGAACATAAAACCATTTTCCTGGGCTCTGTCTCTAGGGATACCAATTAAACAAGGCTAAATGGTACCCAGGAACCTTCATTACTAACCAAACTTCGAAATGATGCTGAAGTTACATGTGTTAAGTGTATTCACAAAGGCAACCACCTATGGCCTTAAACAAGCAGCAAAGGCAGAATTCCCTAGTTAATACAATTATAGAGTAGAAATTTTTATCATTTATTTTTAGATCTACAACTGTGCTAGGATGGACTTTCTTTTGCACATACCTCGACCCTGCACCCTTTTTGGAGCCCATTTTCTAGATAGGACATGTCAGAAGTAGCTGGGATAGCAGCAAGAGAAGAGCCCTATCTGAACTCTAAACTCTGACATCCTCGGTGTGTTCTTCTGTAACAAGCCACATCTCCTCTGGGTGGGGCAGGGCATTTCCTCCTGTTCTCTTAGCATAGCTGCATTAAGGAGACTGGGTGGCTTTCTAAGTTCCCACTCTATACAATTCCATCTAAAACAAGACTCAGCTTAGGGCCATGTGATTTGCTTCTAAGATCTTCCCACAGAGCTTTCTGATACTTATTATTTGAGTTCTCATTATCTACTTGCAGATTTATTTAGATAAATGTTGTGTGCAATTATGCTCTTTTAGAAAACTGTCTCTTTTATGTGCTTGGATGAGTTTAAAAAATCATACAAAAGCATTTATACTCTTGCA